AGGTGTTGTCCCCTGTGATTATGGGAGTTTCAAGGCCAGCCAGAACTCCCTCCTGGAGCCTCCTTCCCGCACACACTCTGCCTGTCTGCTTTTCAGTGGCTCTGGGAAGTGACTGCTTCCATTCTGCTCACTGAGGGATGGTGAGAGGAGTGTTTAGTCCACTCTGACAGGACAAAACTGTCCTGGGGGGAATGTCAGGCTCTGCTCCCAGACAGTCAGCAACAGGACAAGAGGAGCTGTTTGATCCCTCGAGCCTGGGCAGTTCGGGCTGGACATGAGGAAGAATTTTTGCATGGGCAGGGTGGTCAGGCACTGGAAGGGAGCCATCATCCCTGGAGGTGTCCAAGGGACAGCTGGGTGTGGCACTCGGTGCTCTGGGCTGGGCGACAAAGTGGGTTTGGTTAAACTTGAGTATCTTGAGGGTCTTCTCCATCCTTAATGATTCTGTGATTTTTTTTTTAGTCTGTTTTTGACCAGAAAACACCTGAATAAACGCTGCAGTTGAACTCCTCAGTAGGCAGCTTGGGAAAATCCCTGCCATTCATGAGCAGAAAGGGCTTAGAGATGAGATCCCATTGGGAAGAAAAGTTGAGATTTGGAGCGACAGGAGCTGGTGGGGGTTGAGTGCAGTGCCCTGTGCTTGTCCCTCCAGATCTGTGCGGCTCCAGCGAGGAGAAGCAGCGGGCTGGCGCCCCCAGCGGCCCCGGGGCTGTTGTGTGCTGCGGGGAGCCCGGGGACAGCGAGGAGGGCAAGCCCCACTCGTACCTGGAGGCCATCTGCAGCGGGCTGGAGGAGCCGGGCGCCGGCGCCACCGAGCAGCTGTGTCCCTACGCCGCTGCCGGCACCTGCCACTTCGGGGAGCGCTGCCTGTACCTGCACGGGGAGCTCTGCGAGATCTGCGGCCTCCAGGTGCTGCACCCCTTCGACCAGGAGCAGAGGAAGGCCCACGAGATGGTAAAGGGGGAGCTGGGAGAGCTGCTCAGGGCAGGGTTGGGGCTCTAAAGATGGGCTTTGCAGGAGAGCTTCTTCCAAAGAGCTTCTGTTGTATTGCTTGTCTAGAGAGCAGCGTGGAGAGTGGCCAGCTCGAGCCCCCGGAGCTGAGTTGGCAGTGGTGCTGCAGGGAGCAGCTTGTGGTTTTTCCAATTTCATCCTCATCAGAGACTGGCCTGCTGCCTTCTCCCACAGCACCCTGAAAGTCTCCCAGGAGAATGTCTCTGGGAGGTCTCTGACTGGGTCACCAGCTCACCTCCCAGTGCTCTGGGAGTGGGAATGGGTTGTGGATTGTCACTGCTGGGATGAGAAGTGCTGGGGGAAAGCCTGAAGTAAGAGACTAATTCCTTAACTGGGTAAAAATTAGCACCTGATGAATGAATGTGGCCTTAATTATCATCAGAGGAGCACCTTGAGTGTGGCACCTATTTAATAGATGCCACATCTATTGCTTTCTGGGGATGTTTGAAGCACCAAGGAATTCAGTATCTGTTGTCTGACAGATGCAGGAAGGGATGAGTGAAGCACCCTGGCATCTTTATTTCTGACAGCTGAGAGAACACTGAAGGCTGAAATGCCATGATTGATTTTAATGTGTTTTAAGTTAAACTCTGCAGTGATGGGGAGGAATGATGTCCTTAGTGAGTGTTCCATGTTCTGCCTGCAGCAGATCCTTTCCAGAGGGGATTTGATTTGGCAGGCTGGCACTCACAGTGGCTTTCTCCCCCGACAGATGTGCATGGCAACGTTTGAGCACGACATGGAGAGGGCCTTTGCCATCCAGGCCAGCCAGGACAAGGTGTGCAGCATCTGCATGGAGGTGGTGTATGAGAAGCCCTCAGCCTCAGAGAGGAGGTTTGGGATCCTGTCCAACTGCACCCACACGTACTGCCTGTCCTGCATCCGCCAGTGGAGATGTGCCAAGCAGTTCGAGAACCCCATCATCAAGTGAGTTCTGGCTCCTGCCACAGCCTGAGAGGGGCTGAGCCTGCTCACACAGGGGGCTGGAGCTGCAGGTGTTAACAGAGCTCAGCAAAGGCTGCTCCAGCTGCTGGCCAGGCCCAGGACTTGGCTGAGAGCTGCCTGCACAAGCAGCAGGGTGCACTGAGTGTCCTTTGGTACCAGTTCCCTTCATTCCATGGCCCTGCGTGGGCAGTTTGGCCAGTGGCAGCTCAGTCCTCTCTGATTGTGTGGTCAGTGGGCAGAGTGGACTCTGCAACAGCTGAGACCTTGCAAAGCTCTGCCCCTTGCATTGACCAAAAGCTCCATTTTTTCCTGAGGATGTGCTTAACTACAGGATTTTTCCCCTAAACTGCAGCTTGCTCTAGGTAAATGTCCCACTAACCACACTTTCATCTGTCTCAGTAAATGCCTTTATCTTCTAGCTCTACAAAAAATGTGTTCCAAACATGTTCCCCTTCAGATGAGGGAATTTAAAACATCCACTTAGGGCAGTTTCTGTCTTCGAGCATCTCTCAAGTTACAAACATGCTGAAGAAAAGGTGGGAAATATTTTCAGACTTTCCTGCACAACTTTGACTCCAAATGTCACTGAAGTGACCATCAGGTCCTTGCATTTTAAAGGGCTGAGGCACCTTAATTTGTGGTTTTGGCTGCGCTCACAGAACACGGTTTATTTCTGCACACTGAGGAAATCCCTGTTGCTTTTGCTCAGGTCCAGAAACAAACTCAAGCCCTGGGTGCCCTGAATTGTGTTATTCCAGCTGGAATGCACGCAAGGTGCTGTTCTAACGTGGGAGGAGGTGGGTAGCTGCTGCCCGAGGTGACAAAGATCCCCTCTCCTTCAGGAGGATCCTCACTGCTTGGGGCAGATCTGGGGAGGGTTTCAGTCAGGGGAGGCACCAGAGCATCTCTGGTTTGTCTTGTTGCTCCAGGTCCTGCCCCGAGTGCCGGGTGATCTCCGAGTTTGTCATCCCCAGCGTGTACTGGGTGGAAGAGCAGGAGAAGAAAAATGAGCTGATTGAAGCATTTAAGCAGGGAGTGGGGTAAGTTCAGCAACCACCCACATTCCTCACGTTGTTCTTTAGCTGCTCCAACACTCAGTCAGTTGCTGAGCCTTTATTTTTAACCTTAATGTAATTACAGACCACTCTGCAGCGAGCTGCTCATCTCTGGTCACACTTCTGCTTCACTCTGTGGCTGTGTAATTGCAGATCAGAAATTCAGCCTCTCTGTGCTCAGAAATGCTGAAGCTATTTCAGCTCACTTGCCAGAACTGGCTTCATGTGGCTTCTGTGGATGCCTCAGCCATAATTGCCTGGAGTTGGTGACCGAGGAGAGCAGAGAGGGAAGGAAAACAAAGAGTTTCACTGCTGCTCTCAGCTGGGGGAGGCCAGAGCTCTGGCAGTGTTACCTCAGTGAGGCTGTGGGGACTGAACTGTTTCTCCTTCCCTTCCAGCTTGAAGACAGTAACCCTTTTTCTTCTAATTAACTCAGGAAAAAGCCCTGCAAGTACTTTGAGCAGGGGAAGGGAACGTGTCCTTTTGGAGGGAAGTGTCTTTACCTCCACGCTTACCCCGACGGGACCCGAGCTGAGCCCGAGAAGCCGCGGAAGCAGCTCAGCTCCGAGGGCACTGTGCGGGTAAGGAGGGCCCTGCTGTCACCCAGACTTCATCTCAGGGTCACCTGTGCTGCTGGGAATGGCTCCTGCCCTGCAGGACAAGGGAACAAAGCACCTCTCGGTGTTCCTTGGGCAAGGGTTTGTTCTTGCAGACAGAAGGTGCAAAATATCATTGCTTTGTTTTTTCAACCAGTCCAAACCTTTGCTCGCAGGAATTCTGCTCTTAAAGCTTTCACCCACAGTACTCCAACCTCCTCTCCTGTGCTTGGCACTAAGGGCAGGTGAAAAAGGTGAAACCTCCACAGTGGTGGTGCCTCTGCCCCAGCTGGGCACTGTTCTGGTGTTCACTGCCTGCTCTGGGACAGGAGAGCCTGGCTGTCAGCCTGAGCTCAGCTTTGTGATCTCATCTTGTGATGGGTTTTCAGTGAGGAAATGACAGCATTGTGCTGGCTGGGGGTGCTCAGGCAGCTTTTTCTCTGTTGCAGTTCTTCAACTCCGTGCGCCTGTGGGACTTCATCGAGGACAGGGAGAGCAGGAGCGCGCCCGGCGCCGACAGCGAGGTCACGGAGCTGGGGGAGCTGTTCATGCACCTCTCTGGGGCTGAGGAGGATCCCACTGCAGCCCAGTGAGCACACACAGCCCCTCTGAGCCCAGCAGTGCTGCTATTTATTAGCCATGCTTTTACTCTCTCCAGCACACGTAGAACAAAACGTGCCCTGGTGGTTACTCGTGCAGTCCTGGTAAAGTTTTCAGATAGTTTTTATATGGCAACAAAAAAAAAAAAAGGAAAAAAACAGCAACAACAACAAAAAAAGACTAAATATATTTAAAAAACAAAAAATAAATTGGCTGCATGGAAAAAAATCCCTTAATCCCAGGAGGGTTTTCTCCCTCTCTGGCCTAACATATGCTGTCTTGTGAGCTGAGTGGTAGTGTAAATACAGGTCCAGTGAAAGCTTAAGCTGGTAAAAACTGTTGCTAAATAGAGTTTGGGTGCATTGGGGTTTTTTTTCCTCCACTAGATCAGCTAAATGTAGAACTACAAAACCCACTGGGAATAATGGTCAGTGTAGGGTTTTCTCCTTAGAAAGGAGCTGGTGCACTGTACCTCAAGCAGTACCTGGAGTTCAGTTTGGTGGATTCTCTGGGTGTGTGGGGCCGAGTTCCCAGCCCTGTTTCACACCAGTCAGGTGCTCAGAGGCAGCAGTGGCTCCTGCTGGGAAGCAAATGCAGCTGCACTGATTCCTGAACTGGCTGCACAAACTGGAGCTTGGAGCTGGAGTGAGGTGTTCCCATATCCCAGAGATTGCTCAGCCAGTCCTGCCCCACAGCCAGGGGTGGCTCTGCAGCAGCTCAGTGCCTCCACTCCCCTTTTCCCCAGCAATGCTGAAGGCCCAGGAGGGCTGGGGGATCAATGAACATTGCTACTGAATTCTGGCTTTGTTAAAAACCTGATTTCTGTTGCTGTGGCAAAGGCAGTTGGATTGTGAAATCTGGCACCAGAAGTTAATTCTGCCAAGTCATCTGTATTAACTTTGCAGCTAAAGCAAGAATTCAGTGTGCACTCAAGTGGCTGCTCTAACAGCATGGACACACCTGAGCATGAGCCATAACTGACTCAGGTCCTTGTAAATCACTTGGGCTTGGAGTGAGACACTGAGCAGTGTTTGTAAACACAGAGATGAGGGGTTTAGTGCAGAGCACTTTGGTTGCAATGGAAGGCAGGTGTGTAACTGGTTTGGTTATTATCTATACCAGTATAAAAGCATAAAAATTAATACTTAATGTGTAAGAAAGGCCAAGAGCAGAAAGCTGACCTGTGGATGGTGACAGTGATGGTCCCTGTCTTGATCCACTAGGGGAGGAAAGTTAGGAAGCAAAATGTGTTCAGAGAGAGCTGGACAGGAAGCTGCTGCCATCCCTGGGGTGGTGACACCAGGATCTGGGTCCCTGCTAGGCGGCAACAGTAGGAACCTTAATCTGGGATTCAGACATCTTTAACTGGGACCAAAGCAGTGACTCCAGGATTTTCCATCCAGCTGATGTTGGCATTTCTGGGTCAGGAGCTCCTCCCCTCTGCCCCTGCCAGCTGTGCCCTCTGTTCTGACCTGGAAATTAAACTTTCCCATCATTATTCCCCCCCTAAAGTTAATTTTTAGCAGTGCTCACTGGACAGTCAAGTCTGGCCTTGGCAGTGTCTGTAACAAAGAACAATTCCCAGTTCCTTGGTGAAACTGGCCCAGGACAGGTCCTAAATGCAATCAGTGCAATTGCTCAGCACTCAGGAGAAGGTAAATTATCCCTAAGAGGGATGGCACACACTACAGTGAATGTTCCAAGGGCACCCAAACACCCCTTCTACCCCAGAAGACTTCCCCAGCCCTCACCCTTCCTCAATTCCTTCTTTTTTATTTTTCCATCCATTTCTTTTTTTCCAGAAGGAAATATTGTCAGGTATACACAAAAAAAAAAAAAAAAAAATCATTGGATAGGATGTGCTTTACCTTAAACAAGACACTCCTCATGTACTTTGCCCCAAGAAACGAGGAGGAGTAGTCTGAAATTAAAAAGATACTTTTTTAAAGCTACCCAGGGACTTAAAATGTCTGAGTTTCTAAGTTCTTCACTCAGCAGCTTTTATTTAATTGGACATCAAGTGCTGGTTACAATAAACCCAAAAATTAGAGATAAATAATGTTTAGAAGAGAGTTGCAGTCCAAATACCAATACTATTATTAAAAACCATGCAGAACTATATGGAGCAGTCTCCTTCAAGTCTCAATTCACCACTTAGGAAGCAAAGCTTTTGGGCATTGTTATCGCCCAGGGATGAATATTCTACCCTTGTTCTGGTATGGAACATTCTGAGGACAAATGAGAGGTGGTTTCTGTGTCTGGCTCTCCTCCCTTTCACAGGAGCTTTGTGGGGTTTTGCTGCTGCAGGAGAGGCTGCAGTGGCTGTTTGGGCATTCCAGGGAGAGCTGGACACAGGGACTGTCACAGTTCCCAGCACAGGCAGCAGATCTGCCCAGAAGCTTTGGGGTGGCACAGCCAGCCCCTGCCCCACTCCCTGTGCACCCACAGAAAGGCAAAATCCCAAACTGGGCTTCCAGCTGTGCCCTAATAACCAAATAACCCTCATTTCACCAACTGCTATTTGAAAAAATCCATTTTTAGATTCAGCCACCTATTCCTGACTCCATGGGAGTTCAGCCAACACAAAAAACTTGCACCTCAATAAACAAGAGAAAAGAGCAGAAGTGCAGGGAAAGAGCCTGAGAGCACATCAGGGTGGGTGTCCAGAGCAGCTGCTGCTGAAAGGTCATTACAGTACAGAAAAACTGTCTTGTCATGTGACTGGAAATGTAGAGGTTGTTTCATCAAGTGTGTTTTTACTTGCACTGCTATTATTTATCAGTTCCTTTTTAAAAATGATTCAGAATGTCATTTCTTGAGTTTTCCAAATGCAGATGTCCCACTCAGAACTGTGGATGACTACATTAAAATGATGACATTGAATCTTAAACCTAAAATTTAATTTATTTTATTAAAATAAGATAATCAGAAGAACCTTGGCTTACAATAAATGCATTTTCTCAGGAGCAATAAAAACAAAATTAAAACCCAAATCAACAAGAAAAACTGTATATGCTCAGTTTCCTCTTGCTAGTGCATCTCTTGGACGACAGCTTCCGATGGGATGCAGCCTCTGCAGGAGGTGGGAACATCCCTCAGCCTTTTCCAGCCCCCAGCCCAGCATTCCTCACTCACCCCTGCCTGGGCTGCAGGAACAGGTCCATAGTACCAAAGGCAGCTGGGAGGCTTCTCAAGATGACCAAAGCAGGACTGGCTCACCGCCTTCTCTGAGCAGGACAATTCACAACCGATTCCATCCTTTTGCAAGAGTTTTTCTTCTATGTGCAAAACTATTGCAAAACTATTTTGTGTTGAATTAGCATTTGAACTTATTTCATTGGCTTGGTGAAGCTCTTAGGCAGGAGCTGATTTCCAGAGTTATTTCCTCTTCCCACTCCAGGCACAACTCCCCAGGGTGAGGTGGCACTTGGCGTGGGGCAGTCAGAGCACCAGAACATCACCTGTCCTCAGAGCCACCTCGCTGAGCACAGAGCAAACCCAGCCAGAGCCACTGCCAAAGAAACAGCCATCGCTTCTGGGAAGGGGAAAATAAGGCTCAAGTGCATCTATTAAAAAAATAGTAATAGATCTCTTGATTTGTAGTCTGTTACCTCTCCCAGAACAAGAGATGGTAGCAAAGGCAATGAGGAGCTGTGTCCCTGCAGGCTGAGAACTGCACGAATCCAGAGCAGCTTCTCTGTACAAGTGGGACGCGGAGGATCCTGCCCGAGGAGCCCAGACACCGAGGCGTGGGAAGCACAGCTCGTGTTGCTCCTGCTGCTCCAGCCGGGGGAGCAGGGGGCAGGAGCAGCTCAGAACGCAGCTCAGAACACGGGCAGCCTGGTGGAGGTCAGCGTGCACGAGTTGATGTCCTCGGTGTGGGCGGCGCGGTGCAGGGACGGCTCCGAGGCGCTGCGGTTGATTTTGGGTAGAGAGTGCTGCAGCAGCTCGATGGATGACAGGATCTGGGGCGAGACAGCAGGTTAGAGAGGCTTGTGGGACCAGCAGCTCCCTCTGCTTCCATTTAAACATTCACTCATTCAGTTCTTCCCCAATTCAATTACAGCTTTAAGTTTTATTATAGTGCTCTGTGGGGCACCGAAAACACAGAGGTGGAGGAATCCAGCTCTGCCCGCCCCTGTCAGTGCTGCGAGGGCCTCAGGGAGTTCCAGAGGGTGGGAGGGTGTTTTTCACCAGTTCACAGACATTAAGATCAATTATTAAGATCATTAAGATCAATTAATAAGCATCTAAACCATCCTCCAAGTACAGTAATGGGGAAGGAACTGCATCTTCTGCCTGACATTTAAAAAGAACTTTCTAAACAATGCTTGCCTGCAACAGCAGTAAGTTACTTTTCCAAAATTTCTGATGTTTAATTAATTACTCATAATTAATAAGCCTAAGAAAGTACCTTCCCCATAGTGACAGGAGCAGGTGGAGCATTCCTTGTAAAAATACCAGAAATTGCTACATGAATTTACATCCCCCAGTGGATTTTGCTTGTTCAGAGCTGCAGGGAAAGAAAGGAGGGGTGGCCCCTTATTTTTCTGAACCCTACTCTAAAATGAAATGGATATCCAGAGATAGATTGCAGTTTTATTGTCTGAAGGGTTTGGCTTGTCTCTAGCTAGGTCAGGTGTTGAAATCCTGCTCTGGGGTTAGCCCAGCAAACGCTGCAGGCTGTGTTTCATGTCACATAAACTGCAAAGTCCAGCCAAAACACAAACTGCTAAAAGAGCTGCATTATGAACAAAGACAGGCTGCACCTCCTATTAACCAAAATTTCTACCTGAGCAGACTCTGGTGTGTGCTAATGGCTCTCTATAAAACCCTCAGGCTCCTGTGCAGGACACCCCACTCACCTGTGGGAACAGAGGTCGTTCTTCCCTAACTTTCTTCAAACAATCTGCTACCAGTCTCTTCATGGCTTTGGGGCAGTTCTTGTACAGCTTGCTGAGGTCTGGGGAAGCATAGCCCCGGCCAACCATGAAAATGATCTGCAAAACAACAGCCAGCAGCACAAAAGGCAGGTTACACAGGGGGCCTCACTCCTGGGCAGCTTTAGTGCCCCCCAAGGGGGTGAAACCCAGTCCCAAAGGGCACCAACAGAGCCCTGCAAGCCTGGATAACAGTACAGTCCAGTAAAGACTACATAAATAAATAGTCAACATTCAAAGGCTGGACAAGAGTTACTGGGTTTTTTCCCCTTAGTAAAAAGCACCAAATCTTCCTGATGTTAACAGCAGCATATTTAACACCAAAAGGGGAATTTCCCAAACTGCAAATGTATAAACCAAGGTTTTACTCTGCAGCAAAAGCTGTAACCTGAATTAACAAGGCACTTCAAATGTTTATAAACAGGGAATTTTTCTCCTCTGAGTACCTGCCCTGTCAATACTGAGGTGAAGATTTACTGCTGAAACAAAGCAGGTTGTCCACACCACTTCAGTTGGTTTGCATTTGTATTTATCCTGCATTTCTCGAGGCCAAAGGGATGTGCCATGGCCAGAAATAAACTGGAGTGTTCCCAGAGGGTTCCTCACCTGATCTCTGTTGTTGATGTGGGAGTAGGGCAGCTCTCCTGTCATCAGCTCATATAACACTATTCCATAGGAGTAGACATCTGACTGGAAGCTGAAGGGGTTGCTGTCCTGCATCCGGATCACTTCGGGGGCCTGGCAGGGGGGAAAAACAAATTATGAACAAAAAACAAAAGCACAGGATGAGGGAAACTATTTGGGAAGCAGAGACAGCGAGTTCAGCAAGAAATGAGTGAGCAAAGGGTACCCCCAAATCTTTGATGAGTTTACCTAAAGCTCTGGAGAGGCTCAGGCAGGGCTATTCCACATCTTATTAAAAATATCAATACAGTTCAGAGCACACAAAAAATCAGTGCTTTAAATGAACAAGCATTTTGTCATTAGAAAAAAATATTATTTGA